TTGCTGATGGCAAAAAGATCGATAGAACTAGCTGAGATACATGCAAGGCGAAGGACCGGATGGTGTAATGGTGAAGTGTGCTGCTCCCCGGTAAGGACAACAGCGCGTGTTCGTTCCCCACTGCATACACCTGTGGTCCGGAGTTTTGCAAATATCTCAGCACTTCATACGAGTTCTTCCTTGTATTTCTTGTTGGTGAAAATTCGGTTCTCCAACTCTTTAATATTATGAATTTATCAAAGAAAGGACAGCTAGCATAAGTGCAATGAAAGTATTGGTTATTAAGGTATTCGCTTTTCGATAGATGTAAATGGACCGTCACGTGGCTATGTTCTTGAAGTGTACGGTACCCACTTCCAGCTTCCAGATCTCGGCCCTATAGGTCTGTATAATATCTACACATTTTTGTTTCTTTTTTAAATCCTCATCTTTGATTTAAAAACATAGTTCATTCTTCATTATTACCTGTCTGGGGAAAGTGAATATTTACGCAGTAAGACATATGTGTGCACTACTGCAATTACCTCGTTCATTTTTACTTTTCGTGGAAATGACAATTTAAAGCATTTTGTTGGTTTGGAATTCATGTCATACTTCTGAAGTCCATGTTATACCTTCACGATTTAACTGTATCGCTTATCTTAAGGGGCGAATGGATTAGCCAATCCACGTGATTTCAAAACGCCGGTGGCATGGTTTGAAGATGTTGATATACCGTTTGAGATTTTCAACAAGTACCAGGGATCATTTTTCGTTGCAAAGCAGGTAATTTTTGTAGGGTGCATTGTTTAGGTGTACAATTTGCCTACTCGTATCATAAAAAGGATAAAGCTCTCGGCGTTGATCTGTTCCTGAGGAATGCGCAATGCATTCAACTTCATTAAGCATCATTAGAGGTGATTCAATGCATATCTGGCCTTTACAATGACTCGAGGTGGCCTACCGATATATTGAACCAGTGCTGCTATCCTCCTAGACAATTCTGGTAGCAATTTACCGACCCCGAAGAGATGGTAGGCTTGGTGGACCAGAGGCGCGGGAATCGATCGCATGTGTATTGCAGGGCGCTTCCAACCACTGAGCCACATGCACCTTTACTCGTAACATACCGAATGTTATCGAATTGCATCAATAAGTTGTGTATTCATAAAACTAGTAGTCGATAGCGCGCGAGGAAATCTAAAGAATTATGTGAAAACGAGGAAGTTTTACTTTGTTGTTTTATTTACTATTCACTAAATATAGCAGTAAGTTTAAATATAACTTCAATGATGCTGAGATATTTGCAAAACTCCGGACTGCAGGTGTATGCGGTGGGGAACGAACGCGCTATTGTCCTTTCCAGGGAGTAACGCGTTCACCACCACACCATGCGGGTCCTTCGTTTCACCTGTCTCTGAGTTTTGAGTTTTGCAGTTTCGCCTGAGTTTTGCGAGTATCTCAGCATCATTGAAGTTATATTTCTCAATATACCCTGCCATTAAAAAAGAGTAGGAAGTGAATAATAAGTTAGAATTAAGTTTAAATAGTTCATGTACTTAACAGCGTTTGCTTTCGGTAAGTATCCAGAGAAATGTTTGTACGGTAAAAGGAATATTCATTTCGGAATTAGGTTTTATTAAGTAACTTGTAACACTTAAGACACTTCTTAGAAATGGTATATATGACTCACAATGATCACAATGTGTTGAAGAAGGTATTTACATTTAAGTGGGAAGACGTTACGTAAAAGATGAAGTTCACTTTTCTCAAGTCATTTGTGGGTAGAAAATAAGTATTTATAGTGTTCCATTACACTCTGTATTCACCGCTCTCCGTGTTATCTTTCGCGCTATAAAAGGTCATTTCAACTTTATTTCTGGTTGCTTTCAAAAGTCATGTGGTGTTTATAATAGATGAAATGACTTGTCATGGGGGAATGTCATTGTTTGAAACATTCATTGTTCTATCAGCCTTCCACATTTGCATTCACGGCCAATTATTTACCACTTCTGCGCGAATGGACAGAGCGCTAATGACTCCATTGGGTTGCTCGCGCAAGTCATTCCATGTGCATAATCCGCACTCACTCTGAGTGGGAACCCACAAGCAAAACATTGACATATTGGCCCATCTTGTTGAAGTCTTATTTACTTGAATGCTTGGATGATCCGTCTTCAATGGTTATGCGGCACCGTCCGCAATTTCTATTTTTTCAGAGTTTTATTGGTTTAGCCATTGTGGTTCCCCAGAATCCTGAGATCAGTCTAGCCATAGTCTGCACCAGGTCTTCACCACCGCAAGCATTTGTCACTCTTTTGTGGATCAGAGGGAGATTTGCCTTCGTGCGAATTGATTGACACCGGGACGGTGGTGAATTCTGGTATTGGTTTACTTTTAGCTGGGCTTTTTCATGGAAACACCGGACTCCTAAGCTTGAGAGATTCTGCTGAAGGGATGAATTCTCCCGCTTCACATCACAGCGCGAAACCAAGGAACACATCATAGCCACGATGAGGCTGTAAACCATTCCTTGTTAAGGTCGATGTTCTTAAATTTACTCTTTGTTCTGCGCTATAAGAAACTGTTTTAAAAAATTTTCAGAGTAAACAACTGTTCATGTTACGCCTAATGATAGAACTACTTGTTTTTTTTTTCAAGGTGCTCACATAATTCAACATTAGAGTCCTCCGACACCTAATTTCGTGTAAATGCTACATCTAAAGATGTCTGACTATCACACTAGCAATTGCACTCCTCATCTCATACCGGGATATCTGCTTTCCACGCATGGGCCATATGTATACCCTTCAACTTATCAAGTCTTTGTACTGATTTATCGCTACAAACAGAATTAATTGCGACGACCCTTATGCTGACCGGTGTATGATGCAGAGATATTTTAGTATGTCCCTCATCTGTGATACCTTCAATACCATGTACCATTTATGTGACTTGACAAGCAAACTCTTCAGAAGAACTGTTTTTTTTTGCAGACTACTAGTGTAGAGAATGGTCTTTCTGAACCGTCGACTAATATATAAACTATTGGATATCATTTTGGTGTAAAAAGCAGAGCAAAAAGTCACTCTGCAGTAAAGCGACCTATCTGGAAGAAAGGAGAAACACCAATCCACGTGTGTTAATTTTCCACTTTTCGTCCTGCATTTCATCGGAAATCAGTTCATGTCGAGCTGCAGGCGTTAAGGTCAATTAACATCGTACGTGTACTGTTGGTAGATCTACTTAGATATTTTACAGACTGTTCAATTTGTTTAAGTTAGCATAACTAGATATTAAAATACAACACTCAGCATTAAACGAGGTGGTCTAACCAGAAGCTAAAGATAAAGATAAAAAGATAAAGCCCACAGCGTTGATGAATCTCTAAGAGATGTACCATGCATTTGAATTCATTAAGCATCGTTAGAGGTGAATGAATACATTTGTTGCCTTTACAATAACTCACAGTGGTCTACTGATGTGTCCATCCAGTGCTGCTCTCCCATACAAATCTGGTATCAATCTGCCAATCCCGGAGGGGCAGAGGACTTGGTGGGCCTTGAGCTCCGGGATCGATCCCGTGTGTGTTGCAGAGCGCCTTCAACCACTGCGGTTCACCCACCGTTCAACAACTTTCGGTATGAAGGGAAAGTGGTCCAACTAGAACAAAAACTTCTGCTGTTGTGGCAAATAAAGATCGCTTGCGAAAATAATTTTCCATGGTATGTGGTCTGATACAAGTGTTTTCAACTACGACCGTCGGAATAAATTTGTGTTGCGCAAGAGATTTGTACAAGTAGGCGTAACATTGCACTTTTCATATTATGTGAGTTTTTTATAAGGTGCCCCGTTCAGGTGGAAATGTTGTGAACGTTCTTTAGTGGAATATCTGGTAGTAAAAATGACCATGGGCGCGTGTGGCGCAGTAATCGGAGGCGCCCTGAAATACACATAGGATCGATCCCAGGTTCACCAAGCCTTCCATTTCTTTAGGGTCGACAAATTGGTACCAGAGTTGTCTGGGAGGATAACATCACTGGCTCGATAAATCGGTAGACCACCGCGAGTCATTGTGAAGGCCAGATATGCATTCAGTCACTTCCAACGATGTTTAAGGAAGTCGAACGCGCCCTTTAGGGATTGACCAACGCCGAAAGCTTTATCCACTTTTTTTAGAAGTGACATTTTGGGAAATGGGAATTTGTGATGGAGGGTTTGCCACCTGGGTGCTAGGGTTAGGTTTTCACACTTCAGTGATTTCTCTTGCACAAAAATATAGATGAACTGCAAATCTGCTGTTCACTTTTGTCAGAAAATTGGAGTGTTCTCCATAAACCTTGAAAGGTTTTTCGATGACTTAGAAGAACTCTGTCAGCAACTCAAGAAGGATTTGGAGACCAAAGTAAGTAAGTGTTGTAGTATTTGTCTCTTCTTTAGGACCACTCACCGTTCGATGTGGTTGCGTGGCATGGTAATTACGTGCCGTTCAAGTACGACTTGCGGAATTTCAACGTCATAAATACAGTATCGTTTGACCACTGTGTGAGTTTTCCATGTTTACAAGTTAGTCACTAAAGAAACTGTCGATTTCGATATTTCACACGGTGATTATTTCAGGATCCGTCTATCTTCACCGTTCTTACGGCTCCATCGGTGAAAACTGGCACTGCTGTCGCGGATTTCGTGATTTTTCCTCCCAGATGGGGTGTTGCTGAGGACACTTTCAGACCTCCATACTATCACAGTAAGTTTAATATTTTCATTATTAGTTGTTTATGGTACGTCTTTTCCGACTTTTCAAATCATGGCTTAACTTAAGTTTCTTATCAAGTGAAGGTGAACGACTTCTAAAATGCGTGTGGTTTTCTGGTCGAAGGAACGTAGGTTGTACTTCTATTGTCAGTTGAGCATGTGAGAGTCTTGTTGAAAATTTATAGCAGTTGAGTGACGAAGGCATAAAACTAGTTGACGGTAAAGGCCTCAAAATTGTAGAGTTTGGTAGTTCGATGTATGACGGTATGATCAGAGATGAAAGATTTTTTGGATCATTCTCTGAATCCTGCGGTCTTTGTAGTCTTGCAAAAAGAAGCACAACTTAGTCTGTTAATATGCACGATATTGGGTAGTTACTCTTCTTTATTTCATGGACTTAGTTTTGCCTGGCCATATCGAAAGTAAAGTCAGTTTTTGTTCAAAAATTTGACACATCTTTTCCAGATCTGCACAAGTGTTCGTGGCCAATTTTTCCCCATGTTAAGGTGTATAGTTCTCATTAGAAACAACCCAATGATTCATCGTCTCATCATAGGTAGAGTCCTTGTTGCTGGACTTCGATGCACAACGAACAGAAGAAATATGGTATTAATAACACCTAATATTTCATAGGCTAGAAATAGAATCTGAGGTCCTTTAAAAAGTGTTGTTGTTAATAAACAAAACGTATGACGACATGGGCAGTGATGCAAACAGTTGGACACGATTAAGTCATTTGCTGCAAGTCATTTGCTGCAGAGGACGTCATTGGACCAGAACAAAACATTGAGCAGGTCAAATGAAAATTCTCACGGTGGTCCATCCTTTCTTACTTGGTACTTGATACTTGAACGGCGCGTCCTTACTGCTTGTGCGGGCTCCAGCATAATCTCCACTTTTCGGAGGTTTGTTGGCTGTGCCGTTGTGGTTCCCTGGAATCCCGAGATCAGCCAGGCGAAGGTTTCCCTCAGGTCGTCGCCACCACCGACAGTTGCCGCCCTTGTTGATCAGAGGGAGATTTGCCACCGGTTACCGATCCTGGTATCGGTTTACTCTTAGCTGGGCTTTTTGATGGAAATGCCGAACTTCTTGTCAGTTTGGGAGACTCTGCCATTGGGATGAATCACCACGCTGTACATCGCAGTGCGACACCCAGGAACATCTCCCAGCCACGATGAGGCGGTAAATCGTTGGGAGACGTCCATCCTACAGGAGAAACAGAAATATGGATATTGGAAAATTAAACTACGAAACTATTGTTGCTTGTCAAGGTACTGATATGAGTTGACGTGACCTCTGCGTAAAAGAATGTCACTAGTTGCCGTTTATCAATCTATGCAGCTAATATAAACGGGCTAACTATGTTTCATAATCAACTGAATGATGTGATCCACTTTTATAAATTTGTTGTTGCAGACTTCAACATCAGTGTAGGAAATTTTAAAAAATGTTAATACGAGACTGGGGAATTTGAAAAAAGAATGAAATGAAAATGAAAGTTGTTCTGCCGGACTCCTGTTCATAGTGTGGGAGTAACCTCGTGTTGCGACGCAACTTAAAAACTGCTGCATCGAATGCCATCTTAACTGGATGTGTGGAAGGATTCCTCCTACAAAAAAAATGCTCTGTTGCTTTCGCAGTAGTTTATTACGGTACAGACATTCTATCTCCTTACTAAACCTCAATGAAGAGGAACGAAGACGCTTGATGAGCTTCGTAGATCAGCAGCAAGACTGCGACCGGTTGGAGAAAAACACGTTTTATGAAAGGACTTATGTTGTGATGGAAGCAGCGCGACGATGATTACTCGGCTTCAGAGGCCACATTCTAGGTCTACTTGTTATATTCAATAGGCATTGAAAACGAAAAAGCATTTTTTCAGAGAACATAATGGGATGTGTTCGGACCTTAAAAAAACTATCGTTCAGTTCACATACTTGCGAATTTTTACCCTCATCTTTCTTACTGAACAGTTCTTCGGCTCTTCGTGACCACATCGAAAATGGAGAACGCTTATGTGAGTGATAAGAAGAGTTGACAGGAAAAAAATGAAAGGAAAAACGGAGAGGACTCAAAAAAAAGTATGAATTTGTGGCCACCATCAAAATGCTGTATTCGGAGCCGAGAGTGATTTATTGGTCACAGGATAATACTCGCGTTCGTCTCCAAGCTTAGAACAGGCCAGGGAACTAAAAAACTGAAAATGAGTTGTTATAACGCTCGCACGCACTGCAGGAAAAGGCAGTCTGTTCAGTTGTTTAGAGGAGGAGAGAAATTAGCTGTACGCGAGTTATTAACATTTTTTAACATTAAGTCATAACATTTTTTTGTAATATCATTTGCGTGTGTTTTCTTTATAATATCATTTGCGTGTTTAACTGTGCTATCTTCAGTGATGAAGCAGATGTAGCAGATTGGTAACTGTGCCAAATAGTTCTGAGTTGTTTTGTTGAACAGGTACCCCTTCTTTTTAGGAAATTGTATGTCGGAGTATATGGGATTGATTGTCGGCTCCTATGAGGCTAAGGAAGGCGGGTTCCGACCAGGAGGTAGGTTTTATAGTTTATGCTCTAACATCTTTCATATTCTCTAAGGTTTTCCTTAAACATATGTATATTTTAGTGCAAAATTGTTCCGTTTGACAATTATGAGTGTTATGTTATAGTTTCTCTGTTTACAAAGCTTTTTCCTTTTATTTAACTATTGGAGCCCGTATGACTCACTTCGAAATGTTTTCGAACCAGCACTTTTATGAAGTTAATTCTATGATTACCAGTACTCTAACACAACTACACATCAGTAAGTGCACCGTTTGACTAAATCTTGATGACACTGGCGTAGAGAACTTTTCAGAATTTGAATTCAAAACAACAGCGACACACCCCTTGTAAGCATGGGTTTAACCATTAAAAGGAATTTTTGGAAAGAAAATGTATTATTTGAACTAGTTTGTGCAATCCTTCCAACAATTTATCGCCTCATCGTACTTCGGAGGTGTTCTGTGTGCCGGACTGCGATGTAAAGCGGGGGATTCATCCTCCCGGCAGGGCCTCCCACGGTGAGGAGTGCAGCATTTCAATCAGGAAGCTCAGCTAAGAGTAAACCAATTCCAAGATCTACCACCGTCCTGGTTTCGAACTAGTCGCATGGCGGCAAACCTCCCTATGGTCCACAAGGGCGGCGACTGCCTGTGGTGAGGACGACCTGTGGTAGACTTTGGCTGGGCTGACCTCTGGCCTTCAGCGAACCACAATGGCTAAACCAGCAAAACTCTAAAAATGGAAATTTTGCTCGTGCCCGCACAACTGGTGAGGAATAGCTATCTAAATATCGAACTAAGTTTGTTGCAACTTCATTTTCTGTTTTGGAATAACTTTGTTATCAGCACCATTGGAACAGATTGAAATTTTCCCAAAGAAAGAGCAGGAGATGTAAACGCCAACTGTACATTGATAAATACCGTCATCTCCTGCTCGGCTAAATCCGTCCCTTCATTGGCTTCAGTATTTGAAATATAAGCATTCGAAAGCATTGGCGTAAAGAAATAAAGAAAAAATATGTAATAGGTTCCAGGAAATTAGGATTTCAACATGGTGGAACAAGGAAACTTTCGTTCTCTAAGCAAAGATTCGTAGATTCAAGTTTATTGCAGTCAGTGAAATTCACCATGCGCTGAGAGATGTTGATTTAAAGCTTGAAAGAATCATGATCTTCGCATTGCCTTAGTAGATGTGAAGTGTTACCATATAGCAGCTAAACGGAATTTGTTGAAAATGAAAGAGAGTGAAAGGAAGAATAGGTACAAGTGTTTATGTGAAAATAAAATCTTATCATGCAGAAAGTAGTTGCACGCAGAAAGGTAGCTTATCTTTTAGAGTTATGATATTGGTTGTAAAAATTTCATTGGGTAACGAAGCAAGTTTATGAAGAACTGGAATACATTGCGCAGTACTAGGGCTAAGGACCATACAGTAATTTGTTTAGAGGGTGACCTCTGTACGTCTTTATAAGCGTAAAATTGACACTGACTACGTACGAGAAGTTATAAATAAAGCAGGTGTAGAGTAGCATCTCTCTGTAACTGAGAAATTTCCTTAACTTTCGTAAAACGTGGATCCCGGAACCGTGATTACCTTTTCCGGCGGCTCACTTATTACACGCTGCACCACTGAGGCCCTTTGTGTTTCTTTCAGCTAGTTTGGGCCACAGTAGTGCTGTGTGTAATACCCGATCCCCGGGAAAAGGTAATCATGGTTCGGTCTGGCTCAGTGTTGAAGTTTTGTGTATATCTCAGCATCGTTGTGGTTGTTTTTCACATCATACCTTGCCGTAAGAAATTGTACCAAGCAGCAAATAAAAAGTTGATATTGTGATTTCTTAACTTTATTTCTGTATATTCTGCTTCAATACACTTTGTAGGTTTTGTTGATTATTATCATGGTTATCACTTTGTTACGAAAGTGATTAGGTGGTTCGTTGCACTCAATGATGACTCCACACGGACCAGATTTCTTCTGTTTCGAGAAAGCGTCTAATGAGGAACTGAAGCCGCAACGAGTGGCAGAAGGAACCATGGTTGGTCGTGTTAGAATGCGCTTCTATTATAAATGTGTACCTAACGTACTCTTTTTTATCAACCTTTAATGTGTTTATGGTAACCCGATTAGGTTTGAATTAAAAAACATGTTGTACTTCAAAGAAAATTGCTGTTTTTGTATAATTTCAGTCGTTCATGTTTGAAAGTTCTTTTAACATGGTCATTACGGAAAAAGCAAAACGTGAAAACGTTGACTATGAATACTACAAGGACTGGCAGAAACTGGAAAAGCACTTCAAACGTTTTGCGTGAGTATCACAGTTAGTAATCTTGAACTTCGCAAGTAACCCTCATTTAATAATCTGCGACATTTACATGTTATTAGTGAAATTTGATATTACATATATTAGATCAGCAATTTTTATCAAATCTGAAAGTTAGATTAGATGTAGACGAATGGGTATTTGTTATTCGTCCTCCCAACGGTTTACCTCCCCGTTGTGGCTAGGAGGTGTTCCTAGGCTTCGACTAGTCACATGGGGCAAATCTCCCTCTGATCCACAAGGGCTGCGATTGCCTGTCGTGGTGACGATCTGGGACAGACTTTCGCTAGGCTGACCTTGGGACTCCAGGGAACCACAATGGCTAAACCAGCAAAGCTCCGAAAGAATAGAAATTATGCTGGAGTCCGCATATTCAGTGAAGATAGGACATCCAAATATTTAAGTAAGACTAGCTGTAATTATGAAAGGATATCGTCGTCGTCGCGATGACACTTGATTGCTAGAAGAGATGTGCTCAATATGGGAAACGAGGATGTTTCTTAAGACTTTTGAATTTTATGTGAATAGAATTTACCGACATTTGACCTGATTAAGCAAAACTTGTTTTTCAGGAAAACATTTAGTTTATTTAGCTTATTGTTTTTCTTTTTTATCATGTCATTCGTTTCTCTCAGGTTATGTTTTCTTTTCAGCTTTAGAAATCTGAATTTTATATATATATATATATATATATATGTATATATATATATATATATAGAGAGAGAGAGAGAGACTGGTCTTTTTCAGTTTAATGAGAGTACTTCTCAAAGATTCTACGTTCTTGACAATACCAATCATTTCTTTCCTTACCCGCATGTAATTTCAGAGTGTGACAAGTTTATTGATGCTGTCGGAACAAAACGGACTTCAATATGGAATTTTTCTTCAATCTTTTTTTCTACTTTTGGATTTAAGTACTTGGAATAAATATTTGACAAGAACATATTCACTTTATTGCTTACACCGGTCGTTGCACCAATTTTCCTGTCAATATTTTTTAAAATAATTTTCAGACTTCGCGCATTATGACTTTTTGCTTCTTCCCTTGTCTGTGAGAAATATTTTTCGTAGGAGAAATATTGTTTCGACTTGTGATACACTGTTCCTTCCCTAAGGTTTATCGCCTCATTGTGGGAGGTGTTGCTGGATGTCCAGCTGCGATGTACAGCGTGGGTTTCATCCCCTTGCGGGTCTCTCATGCTGAGAAGGAGTCCGGCGTTTCCACCAGGAAACCTAGCTAAGAGTAAACCGATACCAGGATCCACTACCGTCGTGGTATCAAATTAGTCGCATGGCGGTAAATCCCTCTCTGATCCACAAAGGCTGCGACTGGCTGTGGTGGTGACGACCTGGAGTACACTTTGGCCAGGCTGACCTCGGGACACTAGGGAAACACTGTGGCTAAGCCAGCAAAGTTCCGAAAAATCGAGAATGTGCTAGGGCGCGCACATCCAGTGAGGACCGGCTGTTCAAGTATCCAGGATACACTGTTCTCGGCGGTGATGCGAAAATATAAGCACAAAAATGCGTCTAAGTGCTTTTCTGTGTACAATAGATTGGATTCTTAGTTATGAGCCAATTAGTCACTCTTAGTTGGTTGAGTTAGATATCGGGAATGTTTTCTGATATCTTGCATATACTCCCAAACTCACGGTTTATCGAAAAGGGCGATTTTTCTGAAATTATTTTCAGGAACAATTCTTCCCAACGACCAGAATTTTGTTGAGGGAAGTGAATGAGCAAACCAACAATTAGTCCTGGTCCATGCTCGGGCAACGGATACGTGAAGTATCATATGCGACCTACAGGTGGTTCATTGCGTTGGTCACTCGATGGCATTTCCTTAATTAAATCCATCAAAGATGAATTGTCGTTGTCGAAATCCGAGGTTACCAAAACTGATTTAGCTCGACTATTTGTGGCGTACCAATCATAGGAGATCGATCAATAGAGTTCTTTGCGTTTTATCAGGTATTCCACGTGCACTAGCTACTGAATCGGAAGTTTTTACACTGGACGATCATGATGATGAGCATAGACTGAATGGAAGCACTTATCAACGGTAAGCAACGTTGTCTAGTAGCCTGCTTTCCCACAATGCTTCAGTTTTTGCCTTTAGTGAAGTGATGGAAAGGAATCGACTTTTTGAGTGTCCACTGGATAGTGATGAAGAGAAGAAAACAGATGGTGACGTCGCAAATAACATACGCCAACATCGTAAGACTTTATTCTGCAAATACCCATCACTAGTTGTGGTTTTATCGAGAACTGACCAAGTTTATATTACGTTAAAGTGTTGATTCAGCGAAAAAGTAGTCCACCATATTCCCTTTTCCTTACTTTCCCATTTATCTCAAGAAAGTATTTCTTTAACATTTTGCGTGGCAACTGATACGGCTACCTTCGTCCAACGTTCATACAAAGTCTGGTTGATCTCCTTCCGAGAATATGGCAGCTACTTGTCGCATTAGTCCATATTGGCGACTTCGTACTTGAAAGGGAATTTTTGAGGAAGAAGTAGTTAACATTGCAGTTTGCAAGAGCAGGTATATGCATAGAATTTGCATCAACTATATAGAATCATAGAGTATCCTTATGAATGTGTTCCCAACGCAGCATGCTACGGTGCATGCATCAGCTGCACAAAAAAAAGTTGAGTAACCTTGTTGGCTGTAGGTTCAGTCTTGGCAGGACGGTTAAAATGTTCTTTGGAGTACGCAATCCTGTATATGCGTGTTTTGCATCGCCTCACCAAGTTTTCAGAAATTTCTGTATCTGCGGAAGTAGAAATGGCAACTGGCAAGTCGATATTCAGGTATCTCGGTTTGCGTTAGTCAACATATCTATTCCGTTAGATTATATTCCATAAGTGGTAACTGTGTGCATGCAAGCATTGCTTGATGGTGGAGTATAAACAGTCAAGCGCATTGGTTAGTTCCTAAATAATTGCACTGGAATGCTGGCTCGCAGCTCGTCCTCGTTGATAGAGGAGTACTGGTTGTGACCTCCACGATTTCACAGCTGCTCTACAGCATCTTCGCGCAGCTGATGATAGTTCAAGCTTGTCACAGAGGCAAGAGTGGTTTTCGAACAGTCCTTCGCAATAGTCTCGTCGCATCAATTAGGTATTCTTGAGCTTTAGTTTTTGATGTTTACTCTCACTAGCATAAACAGTCTTGTGTCCTATGGAGAAATATGAAATATTATAAAATTTCTGGTTTATAATGAATCTGTGAAAAATGATGGCAAAGTGTTGTTGCGAATCGCAATAATAATTTATCGCCAATTCAACGTTTGATTAAGGAAAGTCGACGTTTTTTCAGTAAATAGGGCAGAATTTATCGAAGCTATTCAAGGTCGTGTTTTACTAGGACAACGAGAATTCTTTCAGATTCTGGTTCAGTCAGGGAAAGATCGCGACTGACGGACTCTTTCGATATGGAAGATTCGTTGTCGGATGACTTAGACCTTCTACCTCCTTTACCTGGTGCGCCGAGTACTAATCAGAGCTGGATGAACAAGTTTCATGTGCTAAATTGTTGTAATCCAAGAATACCTAGCAAATGCAGTATAATGTAGATTTTTTGTGCAATCCGACATCACACGTGTGTAGATCTTAGCCGCTCCATGCATTTGATTCGTTTCCTCGTATCCGTCATATACCGTATTCGAATTTCGCGCTTCACTTTGGTTGCTGCTTAGGATTTTTAGTCTTCTTCATGAATATAATTAAGCGCTGGTCGATTCGATGCTCGTTCGAATCGTGGATTGGCTTGCAAAGGCGTTCCCCCGGATCTCAGCACCGCCAGATATCGTCTTTTGTAGATTAGAGGGAGCCAGCTGATCCCAGATGAATCTGGTATCAATTTCTACCCCACATCGAGGGTGTAATGTTGTTGCTCCTGTGGTGAGGTCTTATCAGTGCCTTCGAGTGTTCAACGGCATTACTGTCCCTTTGGTGCGCATCCCATAATGTACCTACGGTTAGTTAAATTTTTGTTTTATAATCGTGAAGTGAAAAACAATACATTCTTCAAGATATGTTTAGTGATTTTCCACATAATACGATTCTAACGAAAATATTTGTCGTCCTTTATGTGCCATTCTCTTTTAATTTAACTTTCACTGCGTTCTTTTATTTAAAGCACAAGCAATTATGTGGCACTTTTCATGGAGTGTAATTTTGTTTCTTATAATTTAACAACTCAGTTCTTGCTTTAATTTGCCAATCGATCTCTATTTTTACGGGTTTATACTGATCTCAACTAACTGTTGCATCTCATATTGGTAAAAATAGTCTCAGATCGAATTGATTATTGATGTTAGTTATTAATGTGTTGCTTGATTGTTAACGTATTATTGGTTGTCCTCTTTTCATTGGCTTATTCTGGAAAATGTAAACCAGTCCATACAATATTGTTATAATTTGTCAATGAAGAAGTTCGACTATTAGCTTCTGGAAAAAAGCATCTCTGATTTGATACACTAGTTAAGGTTTTTCGCTCCAACGCTTCACCGCCCCATCGTGACTGGAAAGTGTTCTTGGATGTCGGATTGCGACGTACAGCGGGGGTATTCATCATCCCGGCAAGGCATTTCTGGCTGAGAAGAAGTCTGGCGTTTCCATCAGGAAGCGCAGCTAGGAGCAAACTAATACCAGGATCAAACCACTGTCCTGGTAGCAAACTAGTCACGGGGTGGCAAATCTCCTTGTGATCCCTAAAGGCGGCGACTGCCTGTGGTGGTGACGACCTGGAGCAGACCTTGGCTAAGCTTACCTTGGGGCTTCAGGGAAGTACAATGGCTAGACCAACAGAACTCTGGAAAATGGAGGTTCAAGTGTGGCTCACATAACTAGTGAGGTTGGGCCATCCTAGTATCCAATTAAGCTAAGGTTCTGAAATTGATAAGCTGACGTATATGAGTCTCAAGCGCACCAAGCAAGATTTAGTATTAGTGATGTGCTAAGGTTCAGCGTTGAATATTCAAACTTCTAATTTCAACCGTTGCGGTTTTTTAAATTCTTCATGTTAGTGAAGCAATTCAGATGACATCAGCAAAGTTTTCACACAATGCTCACACCGATTTCGTGGTATCCGTTACCCAGAGCCAATTATAAACTCAGCTTGAAATGTACTCTTCTTCGCGTGAAAACCATAGAAAGAGGATTCCCATAGAACAATTTTCTGAAAGAGCAACGATAGATCGAGCGTATCGATTTGTTTCACAATGCCTTTTTTTATTTATACGAGCCGACTTTCACATCTAGACAACGGAACCCAGCACGTCTCGCGTTCGATTCGTTTCCTCGCGTCCATCATCTACGAAGGTATTCCAAGTTCTACCGTATGACTTCGCCAGCTGCTTGATATTTTTCTTTCATTATGACTGTCGCCGGCCGAATGATGGTCGAATCGATTCTGCCTGCAGTCCCGAAATAGCCGGACTAGAGCGTTTCCATTTAGATTGCAGCGATTTTTTTTCCACAAAAGTTCAGTACCAATTTCCCCGACTCCAGAGGGTGAGAGGCTTGCTGAGCGTTGAGCGGGATCGAACCAGCATCGTGCTCGTGATGATCGGCATTTCTACTACTTTGCCGTCTGCCCTTTATCTCCAATTAATGAGTGGAAATCAGGTCAAACTCTAGATTGAGTGATATATATGAAGTAGACTGGACGTCCTCGGAAATAAGATCAGACGCAGTTGAAGAAGCTTTCCAAACTTCGGCATCAGTTGGTCTGCAATTGTCTATATTGTGTATTCCGCTTACTGTTTCAGAGCGTCTATATTCACCTGTATCACATATCGTCTTGTTAATCGTCAATTAACTCGAGCGGGCAGCAGTAAACCTCACAAATCTTCCCGTTGCGTGCAAGAGTAGCTCAGTGGGTTCTGCTGGCTCTAAGGACTCGTTGAGCATCATATCTTTCTTCTAAATTTTTCGTGAAGAACTTAGACATCGAGTTGGTTGTCTTTCTGCGGTGCATTTGATATTCCGAGGAATCCACTCGCTAACGACTCTTGTCCACCCCTCCGTTCATACGCATTACGTGTCTCCTCACCTTATCTTCGACAATTCGACATGTAGAACGGCGTCATTGATTTCTGATTGTTGACGCAGGTCGAAGCTTCGGATCCCATCCCTCACTTGTGTGGAACGTTATACTCCTAGCATTGTCCTTTCGACTGCGCGTGCAATAACAGTGATTTTTCATCCTGTTTACGCAGCGACCAGGTTTATGACGAATAGGTTAAGGCGGGAAGAATTGTGGAGTTGAAAAGGTGGACACAGAGTTGGGTATTCTTCGTTCTTTTCAGTACATCCTCGATGCTCTTGAAAGCTCCTCAAGCTGTTCATGTTGACTTAACGATCTAGATAGGAGTAGTTGGAGTATTCGAAGATATTCGTACCGCTGAGCGTGAATGACGCATACGAAACCAATCCGTTCCTCATGAACATCGTTTATGTGAAGTTTAGTAGGGGGCCAAATTTCCATTCGTGCTATCAAAGTCGGAAAGCATTCGTTCCATCTGGGTAATGCTCGGTGTTATAAGGACGATCATCAGTAATGCAAAGATTGTGAAATTTTTATAGAGCTCACGAAAAATCTTAGTATACCGAGTAGGGAATCTCTGACTATCAAGGGGTTACGTAACTGCTTGTATCTCATTTGAGTCATGAAGCCTTCTTTAAATTGATGAAAGAGACAGAGCGGTCTTTTGAACTCTCGCGATACTTCAATGAGTCTTGTTGTCGTGTGGATGTGGTCCATCGTAATGAATCCTTCTCGAAACTCTGCTTGCTCACATGGCTGTCCGTCGTCCACTGTTCTGTCAATCTTGTTTAGGATGACTCGAGTGAAGAGTTTATAGACGACGAACAGCAAGCAGATTGAGCGATAGTTGCCGATGCCGTGGAGGTCACCTTTCTTGAACAATAGCAGGGTCTGCTGGTCTTGCAATGGGTTTGAACCTTGCATTAAGACAGGTAACGTGTGAGGAGCCCCGCGCGTATGTTTACGAGGATTGGTGGACGGTTCTTCAGGTGTTCGGATCTTCTCTTCTGTGGACCTCGTGTTGTTCGAATCTTCACCAACGAAATAACATATCGGATTTCGGAAGAGAGAACAAGCGGTACGGCATATCCGAGTACTAATCGTGAATGGTTTTCTACATTGCTTTTCAGGACTCTGTAACTGTTCCGTCTGGGCGTCGGAGTGCAATTATCTTGGTCTTGTAATTGGCGAAGCTTCGGTGAGCTTTGCGAATGCTTTTCCCAGCCTCTGTAGCTTTGACCATAACTGCTGCTCTTCTCTCTTTAAGATCTTCTTTTATCACCTGTCTGAATTGTTTTGCTAGGTCGGACGTTAGTTCGCGGTTGCCTGCAGCTTGTACGATTCCACTCCTGCGTATCAGCTCTATTGTGTCTCTTGGTGACTTTCGAGCTCTCAGCTTTTACAGCGCTAACGTGAAGGTGTTGAATGAGTCCGAACCAGTCTCTCGTCGATGTAGCCGAGAGCGGCATCTTCCAGCTTTTTGAATCTAACGACTTTTCTCCTTTCCACGAAAAAGAGAATCTAACATGAAGGAGGCGATGGTCTGGTGCCGTGCAAAATTTTGGGACAACAGCGACATCGCTTTGGGAAAACCTTCGACTTGCTATGATATAGTTAGTGTGCTACTCTATATGATAATAATTTTGGTTTTTCGGTGTACATTCTGTGAATTGTCATAATTGTATCTGTTTAAGTCGGTTCTCTTATCTTGCCGATCAATTAAAAGCAAATAATAAGAGTCTGAAACAGCTGTGAGAATAACAAATCCATTCCACATAGTTCATTTGACATTTGACGATTGAAATCCGTTTAGTTCTATTATGGCTGCCAAGTTGGTGCAATAAATCTGCGATTCAAAGACGTCGATATCAGAACGTGATGGACGATACTGGTTTTCCACCTGTAGATGTTCTTCAATAACAAGAGTCTCTTGAGACCTTGAAGAATTGGTGATAGAGTGACTTATGGAATAGACTTGCATCTATCGCTCTAAGGATATCTGAGAGTCTTTTATGTTGTTATTTTCGCTTTAAGACCGTTTAAAGTTGAATTTCCGAAAGAAAACTACCATCTTGGTAGGGTAACGAAGGCACATATCTTGTTTGCAAAGGTATCTCGATCTCGATAGCTTCTAAACCAATTGACAGTGTTCACAATGAGTTGAGATGGATCTGTAAAAATTAGTCGGAGAAAGCGGAGCGAAGGTGTTGAACTGATGGCGATGAATTCGGTGATGAGTTTTCTAACAATGTATGTCAACCTCTTGATCTTTGACAGCAGTAAGTCTGGTATGGATTGACAATTTTTTCCGTCGAACAAAATTTGTGGGTCTATCAATTATTCATGGCAAACATTTAGGACTTGATTGGAACTGCAGAAGGATGTTTTGTGAGGAACGAAAAGTGCTAAGCGCTTAGGGATAGAGTTGGTTTCCACCAGTATATTCCACATAAGAGAGTTCAAATACGGTTTCGTTTTGATGTGCGCAAGGAGTAAGCCCTCTATCATTCAAGGTTTGGATGA